CGATATGTCATATACGTCGAATCTATCTAATATATCCTATTTGTCGATCATGTCAAATATGTCATATATGTCGGATTGGTCGATCATGTCAGATATGTCATATATGTCAGATTTGTCGATCATCTGCGCCACGTAGGTCCTATCATATTTTATTCGTTCATAATATTAACTCAAAAAAAAATTTTTTAAAGTTTACAACTTTTATTATTACAATGTATATTTCAACTAATTTTAGCTTATGTTGCAATAAATTGTAAATTTAAATTAATTGCTACATTATCTAACTGATTTTATAATATTTTAATAGTATTAAAAGTAATAGAATTATAATAACTTATATTTTCGAACAGATCTAAATATATATAAAAATTTTATTTGATAATGACATTTGTAATATTTCAAGCAAAATTATATAAGTTAAATTATATAAATATTCAAGAATTAAAAATAGTAAACAATATTTATTCTTATATTAATAAGATTTCTCAAAGAACTAATAGAAGTAGAACCAATATTAATAAGTTTAAAGGGTATGAATTAATTAATAGACTTATTCTTATATTAAAATTATGATTTAGATTATAAAATTTGTAAATTAGTATAGTCTTTAAAGAAAAAATAAATTTATTTGATATTGGATTATTTTAAAATATATGAATAAAAAAAAGATATAAAGGAGAAGTAAAAGTAAAGTTAAGTCATTATAAAATAGAATAAAGTAAAATTTGGTAAATTAAATAACTTATTTATTATAAGAATCACTAAAATATATTTAACTTTAATAAGAAAAAGAAAATTATTTTTAATTTAATAAATTTAAAAATAAAATATAAAAAGAAAGTTTTGAAAAGTAATATAAAATAGCTTATTATTATTATTATCTTTAATTACTTATTCTAATTATAATAGCATATTAAATTAATTAAATAAAATATTTATTTTTGATTTCTTTTATTTCTTTTAAATAATATCAAGGAAAATTCAAATATTTTGTTAACAGTTTGTAAGGTTTCTCAAAATCGAATTAAATCAAATATTTAAAGGTAGAGTATGTGACGTCATCATTATTATATAACTAGTATAGCAAAAAAATGTCAAAGTCATTTATACGTAATGCTGATCAAAATTAATTCTGACCTGCATTAACAACTTGAAATAAAACATTATTACTATTATTGTTTATTATTATTTATTATATTATTATAATATATTATTACTATTATTGTTATTATTATTACTACGCTAATACTATTAATATTATATTCCTATTATATTGTTTATATTACTACTAATGTTATTATTATCACGTGTATTTATTAACTAGTTTTTATTAGGTATCGCCAATCTTCTGTATTAGTTTTAGCAATGGTTCCATCTGCAATACAATAATAAATATACTACAAGTAAATGTTTGTGCCGTTAGTGATCTTATCAAAATTATATCCTCTTCTATAAGATCACATAAAACCAAATTATCTAATAACAAAAATGCATTCTCTTTAGTTTTGAGCTTTCTTGAAAATTTTTCTAGATAAACTGGTAGTTCTCTGAACTTATTTTTAACATCCTTTGCTTGAAACTGATCCTTTACTTGAGACTGATGGAATATATCAATTACATTATTTCTTGTTATTTGTTGTCTTTCACTTGTAATGATCTCTATTATCTCCAACATTTTTTTCATATCTGTTCAGATATCAACCCAAACTGGTTTATCAGATGCACGCTGAAGACAATTATCACAAATGTTACATTCTTTTGATGCTGGATCTTCTGACCATGCAAAATAATCAATAATCATCTTTTTCTACATTGATAAATTGAAGAATAATAAAAATATACCTCCCGAATCTTACGTTTTGCTTCAGATAAATATTTAAGACACTCCATTGACTCTATTTCTCCTTCCTCTTCATTAGCATTGATACTTTAAGGTTTCAAATAAAATTTTCTTAGTTAATTTTTACATCTATCAGACAAAAAGATATAAAATTTACCTGGACTGTCCATTTGAATAAATCCCCATTATTGTTCTAATGTCTTTTCGGCTATACATAATAATTGCCTTTGCAGACAATCCATCACGACCTGCACGTCCACTTTCTTGTACTAAGTTTTTTATAAAAATATACACATATTAGTAATTTTTATAGAGTGAGTTTATATTTTTTAACTTACTTATGAATATAGAAAATCCTGCATGGATTACTACATGAATATCTGGGATATTAATACCTATTCTAAACACATTTGTGGCGACCATTATCCGAATTTTTTCAGATCTCCAGTTTAAAAGACCAGTTGATTTTTGTTTGGCAGATAATTCACTATGATACATAGCAATTATTTCTTTTGAAACTTTAGTTTGAAGTTTAGTAGTAAGATTTTCACAGCCCTTATAGAAGAACAATATATGATACATTTGCTGTTCTCTATTTCATTATAGATATTAATAATATCATTTAAAAATTGTTCTTTGTTTTTCTTTTTTTTTCGCATTTCATAGATAATTAGATTATTCTCAAAAGATATGTTACGAATAAGAGAAGCTTATTGGTAGTCTATTCTAAGTCGTGTGGTAATTTCCTGTAAATCAATTTGACAGCAAGTTGTAGTAAGAAGTAAAATAGGCGCAGAGGGGAAAAGACTTTGAGATTTCTAAGATAAGCCCATGATTTATTAATAAAATAAATTTTGATTAGAGGAAAATGCTAAATTCTCTATAATTTATATCTGAAATAACCTACTGAAAATTTTCTTGGTCTAAAATACAATATGCTTCATCTACTACAAATCTGATTCCCTTTGTTCTACTATATCTTTGTAGCATTGATCTGAAGCCTGCATTCATTTGAGAGTTGTAAATATAACTCGTGTTAATTCACGAGCAATTTTTTCAAAAACTTTTTTTTGATACTGCAATTGTTGCTCTGTTGATGCATAAAGACCACCACAAGCAATTCCTGCTTTGATCAATTCCATTACTTGGTCATCTATAAGTTCCTTTAAAGGAGAAAACACCACAGTAATTCCTTATAAAAGAATGGCTGTTATAGTATAACATAAACTTTTACCATCTCCTGTTTGTTTTATAACAATTATATCCTGATTGTGCACAAAAGATTAAATTGCTTCCATTTGTTCACTCTGAAAATCACAAAACTGGTAAATATCATGTAATGCTAATATACACGTTATTTCGAAACTGACATTGATAGGTTTTTCAATCTTTGGTTGATAATTTTTATCAACAATCTGATCCCATAATCCACTTTCAATATAGAAATGGCAAACACAGCAAAAACCTCTTGCGGTACATTTTGGAAATGCATGGCAAGCAACACATTTTATTATTTCATTAAAATCTAGTATTTGCAATATAAAAGAAGGATAGAATTAATTTGTATTAATATTATATTGAGCTTTCTTGCTGTAGGGTATAAGTTCCTATTAAAAAAAAATGAATAATAAATAAAACATTTATAAAGATACAGTATATACATATTTGATAATAATATGAATTACCTGAGACTAATCAAATGTTTCAAGATCTTCTTGTTTATTTTTTAATTCATTTGCTCGCTTTTGATTCATTTTTGAATATTTGCAACATTATGTAAGCGTTGCTGATTTCGTTTCATTTCAATCTTACTTATATTAGTAAGATCCTGATTAGATAAAATAACATTACATGCTAAACGAGCCACATTCATCATTTTGCAAATTCCTTCATTGTTATATAAGATTGCGAGGGTATGTCTTACTGAATATGACTTCCAATAGTCAATTCTTTTATCAAAATAAACCAGTTTAAGTCAATTAAATGCTTCATTTTGTGATGTATGCATTGTTGTGTTAATGCTTTGGTTAATAAGAAGATGAAAGATTATTTCTAACATGGATTTGAATTTTTCACGTTGTTAGCTTAAACGGTTCGTCGTTAAGTTAACTAAGATTATTTGCTAACAGGGAGTTTAAGTTCGTCTAAA